CAAACATACAGCAGCAAACCTTCAACATACAATTAAAAACAAATTTCGCTGACAAAGAACATAACCCAACTCTTAAAATGGAAAGTAGTGAATTACTACTGTGACACTGACCAATTGGTATAACAGTAATCCTTTGCGCCCCGTTACACTTTATTTTTAAAAAAATTTTACATTATCAAATTTTAATATCACAAGCATTTCAAGCATCAGCTGCCTCTTTCAAAATACCGTTTTCAGAGGTCAACATGAGATACATAGCCTGTAGAAACTTTTCTGAATAAAATCTGAAAAAAAAGTCGTTATTCTGTTCCTACTAATAATAATTGATACTTTATTAATCCCCATCAGACTCGTCTATTCCCAGCAACTGTGTTTCACCTGCTAAAATCAGGCACACTCAAAACAGTTTAAGAGTATTATAGCAAAACCAGAGAGACTCAGGAGGAGCTTCTCTCCTCACACCGCAAGACTCATTAATATACGCAATCCAGGTAAACCCTTCCCAACTGTAACCAATCTGCTTTTTTTTTTTTTTACCTGTACCTACATTTCCATCTACCTTTGCTGCTTACATTTATATTTATCTATATTTATACTATATTTGTCACCTGCATTTTCAATACAAAGCTCTGTCATAATATGCACATGTAGAGTTTTTAGCCTTCAGTTTTTCCTATATTAGTACTTCCGTATTTCTCATATGTACACATTTTTAGTTATTGTGACTTTTCAGTTTATTGTAACACTTTTAATTGTTCACATTCTTAATTCTATTTTTGTTTTGATTTGCACATTCTAAGGGTTGTTCAGAATACATTTCAGTACATGTTGTACTTCTATAACCATGTATGTGATGAATAAAGTATCTTGGATTTTGTTTCGAACACGTACCAACAATAGATACTTTCACTACTGTAATTAAACTAGTCCTTCTATTAGTAAAGCCTACACCAATATGCAACACAAAACAGATGCAAAATATCACTTAATAAATGATAAACAATATAGAATAAATAATTTTATAAACTGTAAAATACAAACTCTCAAGCGCGGAAACACAATATAAAGCATATCACACAAACTACTAACAGCATTATATGCAGTAAAAAAAATGTGGCAATTTTGATGCAAATCAATATCATCTTTTGAACTGTGAACTAAAAAATGTTGACAATTACCATATGTAATTAAACAAAACAAACACAGTGGAAGACTAAACATTTGACATTACGGCTACAGAAGTCCCAGGACCATCACTGTTGTCCGTCTTTTCCTCACACTGCTTTATTCGTATAATCAAGTCGTCTTCGTTAAAGACGACAGAGAAGTGCACCAAATTAATGAAATGCTCCTCCATTTCCTCGACATCATTCGTTAGACCGCACAAATTGTACTCCGTGAGATACGCACAAATTGCAGAATTACTTACACTCAGTGTGTGATCTTTGCCATTTGTGGACAGACCCAATGTGCCCGAATATGTCGGCAAGTAGGAAGACGACTTCTGCATAAATTTACATCCGACGCATCTGTGCACTGCTGCTTTCCCACGCAAATCTTCTTGTTGAGCCTTACACTTCTGACAACTGCATTTACAAATTACCTGGACTGCTGCCGCTGCAGTTGTCCCTGATAATTCTGAAACCCTCTCGCCCTCACCAAGTTCGCCAAAATCACTGACCACCACAGCTCCAATTTCTACTATAGCGGTAGATGGACTACCATGAGAGGAATATTTTTCCATCCCTCTCCCTTGTCGATAATTCTGTAAACCTATACGACTTTACAGGATGGACTTCAGTGATCTGTCCATCCCACAAACCCAGTGTTGTGTGTCCCGTTCCATTGCCGACCTGAAACTCCTTCAGTTCCCTGTCAATGCCCTTCACTTTCACAATCTTCGTGGATGTTCCCGGGGCTAAAATTTTTGCTTCCAAGACACCAACCTATAACACAAATAAAGGCACAAAAATTACTACTGCAAAGAAAATATGACCGCTTACTTCGGAACATATGCTACAACATTAGTCACATTAAAATCACTTAAAGTTCACTTAGTTTTAAGGCACATTAAAAACGACTTAAATCGTCCTAATTGTGGACTTTGTACTACACCAACAGAACAACCTATGTTAATTAAAATTTAAAGCCACGTTAAAAATGTGACGTTCTCAACGTCGGTAAAGTTAGTTTGCGGTTCGCTTTTCACGTTGCAAACGGCCATAAAAACCTTATATATGCACGAAAAAATAGGAATTATGGCTCCTTGTGATAGTCCTGTTGTGTGAATTCAGAAAATATAAATACATTGCGTAAAAACAGCCTTTAATGTATTTTGACCAGTAATTTTCATTAGCTTCTCACGTCAAAACCAGTCGTCCCCATGACTGAAAAAGCGTCTCATATTAAACATCCTGATTTGTGAAAAATTTCACAGCTGATAATTTGTCCATATATCGCATGTAAACCCATAAAAAACACGCGCGTTTTAAGGAGGACCGGACAGATAGTTCTTAAGGTGGACCAACAGTATATAGCCCAAATACACACATTTTAATAATTCCATTAATCACACATGCATTTAAACTGGTTAAAACTGATCAAGATGACTTGTGATGGTCAAACAAGGACCTTTCACATCTTCATATACCCCTCAGACACTGACATTGATTTGTTAAAGCTTTCACAAGTCATATTTCATGAGTTATGACTGATTAAATACCACTTACCCAATTAGTGTCACCAGCCTGCTCCCCACAGAAATGACACAGGTCAGTCAGGTCTACTAGAAAAAAAAAGTGTATAACATCGTCAAGTTCACAATGATCAGCAATTTTTACATGACAAATACAATTTTGAATTGTAGAGTAGAGTGAACACAGTAACATACATTTGCCTCCAGCAGCTTCACAAATAATTATGGTAAAAAATCCTAATAAGAAGTCTAACCTGTATTCTGAAGAAGACATACAGCAATCTGCTCTCTTGTGGCATTCATGCTTAAGGATGAATTGTCAAATGAAACTGAACAACCAAGCAAGATGCACTCAGCAAACTGTGAATAAATGATACATTTTTAAACAAGTTAGAATTATTGTATGTGGCCCACTAGCTGGTAACAATAGTGGTTGAAACATCTTTTACCTGTTGCAGAAAAGGTATTAGTCTTTTTTTGTTACCTTAACGTAACAAAGCTTTAATGAGTGCCAAGTAACCCATAAGGGTTGCCCTTATTAGAGCGTTTTAACTGTGCCTTTAATAATTACACAAATGGTCAAAATCTTTTAAAAGTGATTTTACATCAGAATCTTCCTCAGAAATTGTTTGCTTGCAAAGCATGTTTGGAATACAAGAAATGTGTGTTGATCAGTTATTAGTAATAGTAGTGATAAACAAATGGAGATTACAAAACACACAATAAGTCATAAAGAGAACAGTCATAAATATAGACAGTACAGAGGCATGCCCTGAGATTTGCAATGTAAAAAAGAGCAGATGAATTCATTTGTTGCAGTAGTAGTAGTATGTGTGGCGTATGTGTCATTGTTGGACCTGAGTCCTTGCTATGGAGGCTACTAGAAGAAACTGTCCCTGTGATGTGAGGCCTGAAATGACCTTTAACTTATACTGTGTCATTTTGGGGTATAGAATGTGTCCTTTGTCATGCTCCTTATTCTCAACATGCACCCGGGTGAATCAATTGTTTCTTGCTTTAAAATCCAATTATTTTTCTTCATTTTGTTGTCATACATACCTTCAATACAAAGGCCCCACAGGAAGAGGCATCCTGTTGAAATGGGTGTATCACATGCCCATCTCGATGGATTAAGCCCTCTTTGCCTCATAAATGAACTAAAATACAGATGGTACACAGGTAGAGTTCTATACTGATCACTGAATTGAAGTCAAAATAAATATTTATTTATCTTTTTCTGTAAAACAAAGATGTTACACACAAAGATTATGTTCTGGAAGATGTGTTATCCTTCTTCTATACAAAAATTGGAGATAAAATGATATTTACCGTGTGATGTCCTCACAGTGTTTTATTTTTGCCTTAGTTTCCCCCAATGGGTCTAAAAAAAGGCTTCTCCTCTCTCCTGGTATAATCACCTACACATGTTAGAGTTGCAATTAATTATATCATTATTTTAGGACCTGTTTGTGTGCCACATACTGTAAATGCATTAACAATTTCTGACCAATACTGTAAACCCTGAACTAAAAATGCCATTTCAAAATATCATATACCATAATTATGACATGTGAATGATTGTACATACAGTCTAATATATATATATATATATATATATCCATCCAGTGATGATTTTGATTGACGACCCCCACAATGTACTTATACAATCCTGGGTCAACCTGGAACATAAAAAATTACAAAATTACAAAACAAAGTAATAACAACTACAAAAACAAAACACCAAATAATTATGACATGGTATGGAAAACAAATTTTGTGTATTGTTGACAAAGGAATGATGTTTATTACCTTAATTTTCTTTCACACCTGTAAAATGTAACAAAACAGTTAAAGTAATTTGTCTTAAAGTCTTGAGTGTAATATTATATTACTACAGGACTTCCAAATTTCACTATGATACTTTAACATTTTCTTGGTTCCCTGTCTACAAATATAACCATGACGAATAAGGCTAGAAACTTATTGCAACTTTTTGGTAAATAAATCAATCCTACATTTTGTCTCTACATGTCAGTCTTGCAATAGCCTGGGGCCTGTCCAGGTTATACCCTCCCTCTCACCCAGTGACATCTGGGATAGGCTCCAGCACTCCCGTGACCCTTAAGTGCAAAAGCGTTCAGGAGAGATGGATAGATGGATGACTGTTGTTATTACTGAATCTATTTCTATAGTAATTGTAATATTACTTTATTCTGTAATATTTTACATGTATGACTAATGAAAAAAATTATAATTCATATCAATGTATCAATTTATTTGATGTACTTGTTATGATTTGTAAAATTTAACATGAAGTGGTCTGACACATACTGTTGGTGATCAAGGGGTCCACTGTTGGACTAGTAGAGGTGGTGGTCATTTGCCCAGGAATTGTGGTAGTGGGTGCTCCAGAGGAAGTGGTAGATGTTTCAGAGGAGGTAGTGGACGGCCCAGAAGAGGTAGTGGACAGTGCAGCAGAAGTAGTGGACGGTGCAGCAGAAGTAGTGGAAGGTGCAGCAGAAGTAGTGGACGGCCCAGAGGAGGTAGTGGACGGTGCAGCAGAGGTAGTGGACGGTGCAGCAGAGGTAGTGGACGGTGCAGCAGAAGTAGTGGACGGCCCAGAGGAGGTAGTGGACGGCGCAGAGGAGGTAGTGGACGGCACAGAGGAGGTAGTGGACGGCACAGAGGAGGTAGTGGTGTTAGGTGGCCCAGATAAGGTGGTAGGAGAGTCCAAGGAACACTTTCGTGGAACTCGTGGGTGCTCCTCCTTGTACTCAATCAAATGATCAGTGTTGATTTTGGGTATTGTGACTCCCTGGCTGTCCAAAAGATCGGCACTTTTATCAACAATGGCTGTGATGGTGTAGGGCCCAAGGTAGTTAGGATCCAACTTGCCCCCTTTCCTCTGCTGGCTTCTCACATTTAATCGCCACACTTTCATGCCAACATGAAAAGCAGGGCTGCTGGTTTCCTTTATCCTCTTCTTTTGTTTTGATTGTTTACTGCTCGTATTTGTGATGGCAGCTTGGAGAACTTCATCCAGCTTCAGGATGCCCTCTGTCACCTCCTCCACAGACAAGTTGTCCTCCACACTGCTGTCCACCTATAAAAGGTTTAACATTATCATAAAAATTGAAATAAAGACCTCAGAAGTTATTTAAATAATATAAGTTGAGCTTACCCTGTATTCTGATGGAATTTGAGAGGGATACCTTGCCTCTCGGCCAAACATCAAAAAAAATGGCGAATACTTGGTGGTTACTTGGCACTTCGTTCTTAGTCCAAACATGACTGCATCAAGATGGTTGTCCCATTCCTCTGGTCTTTTATTTACAAGTTTAGACAGGGCTCTTGAAATACAGTTCATATAATTGTCACAATCATAAAAATGCCATATTGTCTTATGTGTCAAAAAGTTACATATCAAGAATAACTTCATCCACAATTATTTTATAAAACACAGAATGTATAAAATGGACATTATACCTCTGGATTGTTCCATTCATCTTCTCGACAAGTCCATTTGTCTGTGGGTGGTATGGAGCACAGAGACTCCTTTTTATGTTTAGGATTTTGCAGACATTTTTATTTATCTGGAATAATAAATATGGTTGGTTCATTAATAAAATATACATATACACTTTATGTATATGTATCTATCATAAAAACAATAAACACTTGTACCTCATAGTTTGTGATTTTGTTATAAGAACTTTGTCTGTATATGCGTGTATATAGGTTTTTGTACTTACCTCATTGACAAACTCCTTGCCCTGATCAGTCAGAATTCGTTTTGGTGCTTCAAATTGATAAAAAAAAACTTAATGATGCACTCAGTGACTTCAGCTACACTTTTGGTTTTTAAAGGATAGGCCTGCGGCCACTTTGTTAGATAATCTACCAGTACACAAATGTACTGGTTTCCTTTTGACGTGGTTTTCAGCTTTCCAATCAAATCCATTCCAATTAATTCAAATGGCTGGCTTACCTTAAAACA